ATCCAGTGATTAAAGCGAGTGTTAGAAATGCTGTGGTCCTTCCATAGAGATAACTTGTACTTTGGCCCTCACACTTTTCCTGCCAGATTTCAGAAAGTACTTTCCTCATTTGTGCTATGCCTACTTTTGCTGTCATTTCCCATGAATTACCCGAGGGGTAACACCATCACATCCCACATGTACTCAAAGCTGATCATCAGCCCTAATTGTAACAACTGCTATAGTCATCCTCTGAAAGAGGCTAGATGACTTCTGCCTGAAATACTGGTAACTGCCTGGAGCCCTGCCTGCTGCTGCCTGGTTCCCTCCTTCCATGTGAGTTTCGCAGTCAGGGGAGGGAATTCCTGGGAATTAGAGCAGAAAAAATTTGCTCAGGGCCGTGATTTAGCAGAGGGCTGTTAGAGTTGGGGTAGGATGGTTGGGTTGTGGTTGGACTTGATGATCTTTAAGGTCTTTTCCAACCTGAGCTATTCTATGATTCTATGAAGTCTGCATCAAAGCTACAATCTATGCTTGTCTTATTTTGAGTTCTCACATTGGGAATAACGTTTTGACTGGAGACAGATAATCTACTGCTTTCTATAGAGTTTCTTCCTCTTTATTACCTTGCCAGTGTATTATTAGCAGTATAATTACTGCTATTAGTTGTAGAAACAGTGTTACAAGGTGTTGTAAGGTGTCCATTGAGCTTAATGCCTTCTACAGATTCAGTGAAAAACTCTCTTCCTGTGAAGATCTGAAAGCCTTCACAGTCTGGATTACAAAAGGCAGGAGATATTTTTTGTATTCAATCACCATGAATCCAGCCAAGAAATGCATTAACTTTTTAAAGAAAAAAACATATTTACACTCTATTACATCGTAGCTACGCTGTTTTTTTAGGTAAGATTTCCACTAAGATATATGGTGAGGCACTTCACTGAGTGGCCAAACATAATTATGTGTAAAATGACATAATTGATATACCTGCATTTAAAAACACACAGTGAGATCCTCAGCTGCGTTTAATCATTATCTCCATGATGATATCAGTCTGGCTCCTGTGCATCAAAAAGAAAATCATGGGAGCAATAATATCTTAATTATGTAGTTAACCTTCTGGTTATATTAATTAGTAATGATTAGACAAGGGGAACCATAATTATGTCACGTACATAACAACCCTTTGGAATTGCATTGTGTATCTGAACACGAAAGGCAACGTGAGCACCTCACCTGGTGCATTTCTCAGGTCTCTGCAAGGAGCCAACCAAGCAGTGTAGGCACTGTACTGGTTTTCCTGAGGCATCTGGGGAAACGATATCAGGAAGGAGCACTCAGAGCAAGTAGGGCTCCCTAACACTGTCCTCTGGTCTTATTTAAGGATGAAGTTTCTCACCATGAAGAACAAAGTAAAGCCAATCTCAGCTGATGCTTCTATCCCAGTATCTCTGAGATATGTCTGAGATACCTCACAGGTAAGACCTCAATAGATAGTAATGGCATGAGGAAAAAATCTCCAGTTCCACTATGGGAGGTTTAGATTGGATGTTAAGAATTTCTTTGTAAAGTGAATGGTCAAGAATAAGGAAGAGCTTCCCAGGGAACTATTGGAGTTACCATCCCTGGAGGCATTTAGGAGATGTGTGGAGGTGGCATTAAGGGATGCTGTTTAATGATGGACTTGTAGTTCAGGTTGGTGGTTGTATTTGTTGGTATTGAAGGTCTTTCCAACCCCAATGATCCTATGGTTCTATTCCAGTCATCCAGATGGCAGCATCTTGCTCTGCATGAGACGAACAAGTGCAGATAACAACACAGAATTTCCATTGTAATTTGTCCTTTAAGGGTGAATGTCAAAAGACATTTTAAAACAAACAAATATACTTCAATTGAACACTTTACAAATGTCAGACTGAATCTTTCTAAAGCTGCCAGCATTCAGGTATGTGCGTATTCTGGTTTGCACTGCCAGGTGCTTAGTGGCTGTATTCCAGGTTGTTATTATTATCATTATCATTATTATTGTCATTATCATCTAAGTAACTTGGCTTTGAAAGCCTGACTTGTAAATCTGACATTTGTAATTCTGGAAAACTTTATAAACTTTTGCATTTAGATTCACAGATTAGTTTTTTGATGTATTCCTTTAATTCTGTGGTTCAGTCAGCATTGGGCTCTGGTACAACATGGACTATAGTTAGGTATTGTTCTGTAGAATTAATAGCTCTGGAGTCTTTAGTGGATCTTGCAGGTTCAGTAGAAAACTCTGTCTCTGTAGGAACCAATTTCTGTGAGGCCTTGGGCACACCATGGGCTGTGCAAGATGTCACTACCTGGCATTAATTCACGGGACCGATGTATCTTTGCAGGATATAATGCTTTAGGACTTTGGTAAGCCGTACATCCCACATTTTAGTTGATCAAACTGTAAAACTCTTCCCTAATATTTTCTAACAGCAGTTGGTAAGCAGCTCTTTCCTAACACATTTCCAATTCAGTCTGGCTTTCAGAATGAAATTTCTGTAGAAAGTTTCTTAAGTGTATTCTTTTTCAACTTGAAGTTTGTTCAATATAGTGCTATAGAAGCAATTCTTGCAAATAATTCATTTCAAGAGACTTGTTTTTCTTTTGCTCTCGGCAGTGGTTGTGACAAGAGTGACAGCACAAAACACAACGGAAAGTTGTAAACATTTTTTTTCTTTAGACAGAGAGCTCCTAAATTTCCACCTAAATGGAGAACCAAGCCACTCTGCTTTCATAAACTCTGGTCCTTGCCTAAACCCAGGGTCGCAGCGCATGCACGAATTAAGATAATGCTGCTGCTATTCCAGCCAATGCATTGGGGTGTAGGGGTGCTGATGCCTTTGAGGTATGTCAGTGGGATGGGGCTGGGTTGTTTCCTGTTCTGCTGGGCATGTGATCCTGGGCGATGTGCTCCAGGTGACCCAGCTTGAAGCACAGGAGTTGGACTGGATGATCCCAAATGATGCCTTCCAACCTTAACTATTCTGTGGTTCTGGCATCCTGTGAGGTCGAAAGCTCCACCTGCAGGCTCTGTTTGGTGCTACACAGGAGTGACAACCTGGGGGTCTGTCAAGCAAAGATCCCCAGATTATGTGTCCTGATCACCACAGCCATCTGAACAGCCACCAGCAGAAGAATGAATACCTTTTCACTGCTCCACAGTTCTTTTCTGTCCTTCAGTTCTATTTGCAGCACGAGCAAGGCAGCGCCATTTGGCCCTGTTAACTGACACACAACTCCTGACACCAACAAAAAGCTTGCTGTGTTCCAATAATGAGCATGAGTCTTCCCTTTGCCACCATCTACCTTTTCCCCTTCCTGGCACACAAATCTCTTTTTTCTAACTTCACTCGGGTCAGAAACTGGGAACAGACAGAGCAGAGCCAGACCCTTCTCCAGTCTTGAAGACAGTAAACGTGATCCAGATCAATTCATGCTCCATAAACTCCATTCTCCCCCAAACCAAAAGTTGCATTCAAAGCACACCATCTCAGCAAACCACCAAAACATACCCAGAATATGCACGAAAGAGTGAGAATAGGCACAGATCAAACTTCCTGAGGCCACTGTCATAATTCAACAGTCTAGATGATTGAATTAGAGGCTTTAGCATGGCTTTGTATATCTGCACTAATGAGGCTGCACCAATCAAACAGTTCCTTGGTGCCTTTTGCCTTCTTCCCTTTTGCAGCTGGGCTATTGGTCATCCACTGCATTCTGCTCCCTCCTACCTTAGCTGGCTGCATCTTCCTTGGGTGCAGCACAGAAGGCAGCAGCCTGCTCTGCTGGTAGGGACAGGGATGCATTAAATAATTAAGAGGCAGAAGGTGAGGGATGCACGTACCTGCAGGGCTTTTCTTTAGAGAAAGAGTAAGAGTAGGTTTTTTCAGATAGTGAGCATTTTAAGAAAAATATGGGACACTCCAAACCTTGACTCCATCTTTGCATGCTTAGTTACCTCTCAGTGCAGCAGAGGGCTGTTCTTGTGTGCTGCAGGTACAAACTGACTTTAAAAATGAAGTGAAAAGAAGCAGAGTTACTTCCCACAGATAAGATCCTCTGACGCCCAAAAGCCAGCAGGAAGCTTGGCGTTACGGCTGTCTCTGCTGGGGCTCAGCACAGAGCCATACGGGAGCTTCTGCCTGGCGGTGTGCAGCACCCCTTGCACACATGGCTGTGGTTGCACCGAGCACTGCTGCCTCAGTGAGCCATCTGCTACACGCTGCTCTGCTTGCCAGCGTCCCTTCCTAGCAAACTCATTAACCACACAGATGCGCTCAATGTGCTGGAACAGAAATGAGAATGGGAGTAATGAGAACAATTCTCCTGCTAAAAGAACTGCTTTCTACATCTGTTCTTTGACTGCACCTTCCCCTGCCCGGGTGCAGCACAGAGGAAATCTCTGCAACTGATCTCAAACTTCACAAATGGAGGGATTATGCTCTACAGATACTGACAGCTTTGCTCACAGCCTGGCAAACACCACAGCTTTCATCTTCTCTCTGCAATAAAGTCCATCAATCTTATTCACACACCAACCTATTCCCCTTTGCCCCTCAGACAGAGCTGGAAGAGAAACGTTCCTTGGGAAGGATGCTGAAATATTTCCTCCTCCTTGTCCTCCCGTTTTAACTGACCCTTTTGGCTCGCCTCCCATCAAAGTCAGGTCAACACGCATCCGCTTGCCGTGCTGAGCTGACTAGTTTTCAATAACAATTTCTCCTTTGTTTTGTAACCGAGATCAATAAAACTGCCCCTCTCTCATATTGGCCGAGATTCCAGCAACGTCATTCGCTCCTTATTGTTGCTACTGCTTCATTTTGTTCCCCCCCCACCCCTTTTTTTTTTTTTGGCAAGGCACAGATCAATTTAACAAGATGAAAACGACTTAGAGTTTTACTCAAGGTAAAATCTGCACTTTATAACCCAGGATGTAATTTACAATCCTGTCATTAAGCTTTGTTAATCCTATTATTATGAAGATAAATAATTACCCATAGCGAAGAAAGGGATTCCCAACAGAGTAGAATTATATTTTCCATCAGTAATGAAAAATATCCCTGCCGCAGTGACACTGGAAATACAGATAGTGAGTACTCCCAAGAGTCCCAGGAAAGGTTTGCTACGCAGGCAGTCCTTCATGGAGCTCGAGAGGGTAGCAGTCAGGAGGATCAGCATCAGGCTCACCAAAATCTTGCCCCTGGCCAAGAGACTGGTCTGGTGGAAGTCCTTCCAGAGGCTGAAGGACGCCAGCGAGTAGAGCTGCAGATCTTGGTGATCCAGCTGCATCTTGTGCATCAGTTTACAGAATTCACTCTCCCACTTCTCCCCAATGAGGTCCTGGGTGACAGAGCCATACGTTTGGAGGTAGTAAGTGATTTGGATGGCTCTGGCTGATTTGACTCTCTGGTCCTTGCTGTTGGGCACTTCCATGACCCCTCCAAGCTGGTGGCCAATAAAACTGCTCCTTCCATCCTGGGAGGGAAAGTAAAAAGATGAGCATGTGGTTATCCTGCGCAAGAGGTATCACAGCGACACTGACTGGCTGTGCCTTTCTGCCACAGACAGGCTGAAGGCTTGACACAAAGGCCACTGCAGTCAATAGGAGCCATGCCTTTCACTTCAGTGGGCTTTTGGTCACGTCCCTGTGCCTGCCACATCTCTCTCTGTTTCTCACTCATTACATTCTCATTCGCAATTCTGTGCTGCAGTTCAGGGACTGCCCAGGTACTCGCTGCAGTCCCAGATGCTCGGGGACCAAAATGTTGCATGCAAGCTCCTCACCCCAAGGGAGAAAATCATTTTTCCACATTTTAACTGTGACAGAAAACAACAGAAGTTTGCTATAAAGATCAGTTTCTGGAAGACTCGCAATTTCCTGGCACTCAGAGAACTCTCTCAACAAATTGGAAATGTACAGAAAATGAGGCCGTAGGTTCTCACTACACAGATGAAAATGTGGGTGGATCCACAAAGTTTGATGGTTACTCTGTCTCTACAACAACATCATTAAAATCAGACTCTGTGAACTGCTTGTTTGAGATTTCCTGGATTTCTATAGGAGATATAGAAGTGGAAAGGACCTTAATCCTCAATTTAGCTATAATTACATACATACATCTTTCAAGAATATAAAACATACCTGGTCTTACTTATTTCAATGCATGCTAGGACATAAAGACTCCATGAAAATCAATGAAGGACATGTGTGGTGCACACAGAATCAGCCCCCATCTGTTTGCCAGATCAGACTATTCTTCTGTTGACTTGTCTGATCCCATCTAATTTTTTGTCTCTTTGTTTGCTTGTTTGTTTCTTTTTTTTGTTGTTGTTTTTGTTGGATTTTTTATTTATGTATTTATTTTAGAAACAGTAAGATTTGTTACCCACTGGTTATTCTAGTTCTGTAGAATAACTGTGATCTGCCCCTCTCAATCAGGGGAAACTCATGTGGATTTAGACTAGCAAACCTCATTGCAAACTGAGGAAGAGGACCCAGCAGATTGGATAAAAATGTCCTAGCACAAGTAGTCTCTTTGAGCAAAATAACCCAAAAGCCAGGGATTAAATGCCTGCTGCGCACCAAATAACAGCATTTCATGGTTTTTCCCCCTCTAAATTGGATTTAAAGTTCTCAGTTTACTTTTGTACTTAATGAAAATACGTCTAAAATTCTCAAAATATGCCAAACATCATGCAGCAGTGAGGTCATGTGAGACAATACTCTGCCTAGATGCAATGTGGGAATGAGCTTCAACTTGGGAAATGCTGCACCCCCCACACACATGGAAGGAACCGCCTGCAACCCCAGAAGCGTTTGGGGAAGGTGTCAAACATCGAGCATGCCCAACTTTAACCATTTCTAGACACAGCTTCCTCTCATTGCTGTGTTTTTCATCCCAAGGAAGAAGCAATGAAGCACGGTACCAGGTTTCATGAAACATAGTTGTCTTATGGTACATCTGCTCACAGAGCCCATAAATATCAGAAACTGACAGACAGTGCTCAAAAATGCTCAAAATGCGTAACAAACCCACCTTGTCCTGTCTCTTGTACACAAAGGAGGCAGATCTCCTGAATTTCCTGACTACGCCTGCTTGAAGGCAGGAGCTTATGCTGCTTCCAGCATGTGCCCAGGGAATGTGACACAGTGCTTTTCAGAAGTCCATTTTTTCCCTATTCCCAGTTGTTATTTCCCATTGAAATAATGGCTTCTGGCGAGGTATGCTGGCACCAGCCAACAGACCAGGTGATTTGCAGTCTGATGCCAGCTTCTCAAATCACCTGAAGCCTCATTAAAATCATCATCTAGGCAGAAGCTGCTACTGTAGAGGGGCAACTGCTTCTCTTCAGGATCAAAAAATCCTCCTCTCCTCCTTTATCGGACTAGAAATCTATTTTAATTCACTGTTCCTACTTCTTTCTTTTTTTCCTAAGGAGAGTCACACTGACACTCTCACTCACAAAGGGTTTCTTTCCAAGCTGGCAGTTCAGGCTTGAGCAATGCAGTCCCTGCTAACATAGGATGCAGCTCCACAGCTGAAAATCCCCTTTGGCACTGCTTAGAAATTGTAGGAAGAAATGCCATATTTCCTCAGCATATTGACATTCAGATGATTTCAGCCACTGCAGGATACCTCAGCAGCACAGACCCCATCTCAGACAGCGGGCTGCAAGTCAGATCTCATTGACTGGCTATGCAGATGCACCACAAGGTTACGGGAAACTTAGCGCTGACCATCTGCCTTCCTGTGAAAAGAGCACCCAGTGTCGGCAGCGCTTCGAAAGAGGCAGCAGAGCAGGCACCAATAAATCACGCTCTGCCGTATCTCCCACGAGGCAGAAGACAACAGCTATCTGTTACACTGATGTGCAGTAGGGCACCTGGCTCCTCTGGCAGCAAAATAGAGAGTGGTTTCAGAGGAAGCTGAGGAAATCACAGATGCTGAATTGCTTTGAGGTCATTTTGCCCATCTCCTTCCTTCCGAAGGTGTCCTATGTGAGTGTTTTGCCTTTGATACTTTTATAGCAGGCAGACACGTGTCTGTCACCGTGGCACTTGGAGAACAGACCCTTTTCTAACACAGCTCACATGCTGGCTTACTCAAAAGCTCCTAGAGAAATAAAGGTTTGGACAGCTCTGACACATCAATGGTGACAAGCCCAGCAAGAAATAAAGGTGTGAAAATATACTGTCACTCGTCCTATTTTGCAGATAGGGACTGAAGTATAGGAAAATGATGACCCAGGACGGGCACCGTAACCTTCAAGGAGCCCCAAGGGCAGCCACACAGGAAAGCAGGCACCACAAATACAGCACTAATGATGCTTATTGGCTGTAGAACATTTTACATCCTTGTACTTCCAGATCAGCTGCAAAACAACATAACTGTCTCCAGCAAGGTCACTAGCACGACTGGAGCCTGAATTTCAGGTTCCCTGTGTGTCTTCATTTTCTTTCATTTTATTTATTTATTTACATATTTCATGTCTAATGTCTCTCTTCTTCCAGAAGGTAAAAAAGTCCATCCCGATGGCAGACAATTCTTTTCAGATCTGAGCATGTTTTAAAATGGTATAAAATATAAATGACTTGCTAAAACATGCAATATTTGGTCTTCAGCAGGGCCAAGCAATGCTCTTTGCTCTAGTGGAGACTTTGGTGGCTTTGCTCACTCCCTTCTATCTTTCTGGATACCCCGAAGCCATTTGATAGGATTTTACAGGTTGAAAACAGCTGCTACTACTGAACGAGATGTCCTTTATGAGTGCTAACACAGGCACAGACCTCCTGTGAATTCAGCCCAGAGGGCACCAGCAATGGTCCCTTCCTGCTAAATTGCAGTGCGACCCTTTTCCCAGACTCCCATCCCTGATCCTACATGATCTCTGCCCACTGTTGTGCCCATCCTGCGCAAAACATCTCCTTGAAGGACACTGACCTCCACCAGCTTCTCTCTTTCAGGGAAAAATGGGAGATACCAAGTATTTTTAAGTGGTAAAACACAGTGTTATTTCCTCTCACCACCCTGCGTAGTGGAGCCCAGGCCTGGAAAAAGGTTCAAAATTTGTTCCAGATTCCCGATGAGGTGGAGAGCAGTCCTTGCACCTTAGTGCCACTCCCATTCCAAGCAGCTTCACAGTGCCTTGGCCAGCCAGTGTCTCACTATGCTTATTTTTTTCTGCTTTAACTGATACCTCTAATCGGATGGAGTGATAGAGAATTACCAAGCTGCTTTACAGCAGACGTGATTCTTAAGCACACGATTTGTTGGTGGACTTGAGAGTGTTATGCTGACTCCAACGTAAATAAATCTGTGACTGTGACTCAGAGTAATGCTGGAATAAACCATGCAAGTTAAACTCTGTTTGACCTCAAAATCTAAAAAATACTTAACAGAAGGCAACCAGAGTTGTCTGTTAAAGCAACTGTGGTAAACTTCCCAATGAGATCAGTGCAGCGGTTGCTTGACATGATAAGGACATTCCTACTCCACCATAGGAAGCATTATGCCACAACCCACACAGGTAAGGATGAAGTTGGTTACTGTAGTTCAACTAAGGTTTTCAAAGTAAAACAAAAACAAACAGCAGAACACCAACAACAAAAAGAAAAACACAATCTTTCCTTTGAAATACGATTTAAGGTATTGGGTTGCTTCTCTAAACTTACTGTAAAGTCTTGGAGGCAGTATTTTCACCTTCACCAAATGGATTTCTCTGTCTCTGCCCCTATTATGGTCATCTGTGCAGACCTTACATGTGCTGATCTCAGTTGTAAAGCCACCGGTTGCCACCACTTCCTGGAGCATTCCAGTGTAGCCATTCTCCTGCTGTGAGCTGTGTCAGTGCTGTTGCACAACAACATGACTGCTGCTGTGCTTGTCTTTGAGTGCTGGGGGAAAATCTGCAGCTCTTCCAAACAGCTTCAGACAGAGCACTCAGAACCAGCCATCCCCAAAGGCAACAGATGGGAGGAACATCCACACCCCAGCTGAGAGGGGGCAAGAGTGCAGCGATGGCCACGCTGGCTCAGCAAAAACAAAAGTAGCAGAATGATGGTGATAAGATATCCAGGACACAATCCTGCAGGTCTCTACGACAGTATTTACAGTCATTCCGAAATCGCGATATTCAGCTCATTAGTTAGTCAACCAGATTAATTCTGTAAGCACGGGGAAGAGGCTGGCACCTACAGAGGAGTATCCGCGTCATTCTAAGGTCTGAGCTGAAAACAAACTTTCCCTCGGCAGGTCTCTCTCCATTTCCTGTAGAGCCACAGGTTAAGAAGCCAGTGGTGGACAGAGCACCTTAACTGATCTATACTGTCATCCCTGGTGCGGTTGTTAGGAGCATGACATGTACCCAAATGACAACCAGGAATGCCTGCACCTCTCTCTGATGGGTCTAGGCTCATGCTCCGTACTCTTACTGCTTTGGGTTTTCTAGCTTTCAGTCATCATTTGAAAAGAGAC